TCACCCCCGCCCCCACTCCTCCAGCCTACAGGCCTGGCTGCTGTGTGTCTGAGGTCATTATCACTGACATCCCTCATGTTGTTGAGGGGTCTTAATACAAAGAAACCGCATTGAAACTAATCAGAAGCCCTTAAATTTAAGTTGTGTGTGTGTGTGTGTTTGAATCATGCTTTTAAAATGTCTTTGAGTCAGCACAAAAATCTTGAGTGTGATTTGGCTCCAGTGCCTGAGAAAGCAGAGAGACCGTGGCAGTGACTGTCTGTTGTAATGAATGATAGGAATATACTAATTTATGCTCTTTAAATCTATATTTAGCGTCTGGTTAGAGGAGCTCACTAGTGAGAATACTGTGCGGTGCTGTGGTTTTGCTTCTTCTTTTCTGAAAGTATGATGTGTCTCTCCTTTTGTTTTCCTCTCCTGACCCGGTTTGTTCCGTTTCCCTGCTTTGTTTACTTGTCACAGGGATATTTATCTACTTTTTCCTCTCCATCACTTCTTCAGCTTTTTGAGTGGAGCTCAGTCCCGGACACAAAATGGAGGCCGGTTTTGAAGGTGGAGGTTGAATAAAGAGAGCATTTGTAATGGAGCTGTTGGAATTAGATAATGACGTCCTCTGTAATGAGAGCATGAACCGCGCTTTAATAATCCCCAAGTGATAGACTGTCATTGCTGTCTGTGAGACATTTTGCTGAATCAGATTGTCTTTTTATTGTGGAGGATCCAGCTCAGTGACGTCCTGCTCTTACTCCACAAACACACAATGAATGCATGTATTCAGGACTTGTTTCTCTATAAGCAAGTAAAAAGTCCTATTAGGATGTGTCTTAGCATCTTGAATGGGAAACTTGCTGCTTTAGATCTTTATTTTACTTTTAGTTGCTAGTAAGAATAAATAAGACATTTGGGCTGCTAACTTTACTGAACAATAGAAATGATCAGTTATAGCTCTAGATACATTATTGATGCTGATGAAGCATATGTCCGAAAACAGTGAAAATGCCCATCACAATTTCCCAGAGCCATTACTTGTTTTGCCCAAAACCCCAAACATATTCAGCTCACTATCACAGACTAAAAATACTTTAATATTCTCATTTACATAACTGAAACCAATTCATTTCTGGCATTTTTTCTTGTTGTTCCAGCTATAAAGAACGTTGGTCTTCTGTCACTGCTTGTGGTCAAAACCTTCATAGGGTACCTTTTGAATAAAACTTCCTTTTGAATGTCATTATACTAAGTGTTTCCACTATCGGTTGACTCGCTGACTTATTTTGTGTCCCGATGTGTTCCACACAGTGACCTTTACCGATTTGGAAAAAGACAGCACTGGTGTCCCATCAGTGCTCGATGTTGTTCGATACTTTGACCTGAGATATCAGAATAGGTATTGAGTGAGGAAAAAAGGTTTTATCGTTGCATCCCTAATCAGAGGTCAGTCAATAATATGATTCCTTTGCTCAAGGACTCTCATGTCCCCCTGCAGCTCAAATCTGTCCATAACGAGCAGGAGGTCTGAATCTTTCAGAGGAAGACCTTGTTCAACCCTCCAACAACTGGATCATTGTGATGTGGATTAAATGTCGATTGGAATTAAACCGGCTCCAGATGTTTTTTTAAACCGACAGCTGCTATTTGCCTGGCAAACCTGAGCCAAGATGGCAGCTGAAGTCTGCTGGCTTTCATTAGCCGCCGAAGGTCTGAGCGAGCTCAAGTGGGTCAGTCAAAAAGCTGCTTTACCCAGTCAAAACTGTTGATTTTGTGATTCGCTCTTAACCTTTATAGATCAGTGTTGAACCTCATGTAGAAGTCTCAGTTTAGAGTCTAACTGACCTATATTGCATTAAGTATTAAAAATATTCAAACAGCGACTTTAATATTTTAAGATCTTTTGACATTACTACCAGCAACTCCTCAGCATCATTTATTTATTTGTTCTTCTACCCACATCTATCATCATTGCTTCTTTACTTTCTCATTTAATAATGGCTTGAAAAGAGGCTTTTAATTAGCCAACATGTTCACCTGTGTAATATTGTGACGTGGGATTCTTAAATTTCAACCATAACCCTTAAATAAATCCATAAAATTCAGCATGAAGTCTTGTCCTATAGGGTCCTTTTGCTTCTGCTGCCCTCTAATTGGTGCCTTGCGGCATTCATAATTGCCATTAATGTGACCCTTGCTTGTTTCCGGACGTTATCATCCACTCCCCTCATCCCTGCAAACAGAGATGATCGCAAATTCCCTGATACTTTAACGACCCCTCATATGGACTGAGACAAAGTTATCAGTCAGCCTGGAGCTCAATGGCCTTTTAAGTGGCCTGTTCTGCCCATAAGCTGTGGTGTATATGTTAGGGAATACTGAGCGCTGGTTTGTCAGCTAAATGGATGAGTCCATCATATCCTGTTGGCTACTGGTGTGACTGCTGAGTGCTGACGAGTGTCTGTAACTGATGGTCCTCTCTGAGAAGCAAGTGTGAGGTGAGCGGAGTGTGATCCCAGTTGGCAGGGCGGTCTTTGTGTCAATTATTTAACTTCCGATGATATGGCAATAAGGTATTGCACCTTGAATGTTTTGTGGTTGTGACTAAGCCTGCTGTCTATTAACTTACTGGATTTATAAGACTTGGTATGAATGCAACTCCTATAAAACTTGACTAAAGCCACATGAAAAGATTTAAAATGCCAAGCAACAGAGACACATTTAAAGAACATTGACCTTTCTTTCCCAGAGTTAGATGAGAGGACTCTCATGTCTGTCTGCTGCAGATATCAGCCAGCAGCCAGTTAGCTTAGCCTCTGTAGTAAAAAACGTTGTGTAACAAAGTAAATTCGTAGCTTGTGAGGGACTATTTCTTGGTCAGGAATAGTGACTTCCTCATGACGTTCAGAAAGTTACCGCACCTGGTCAAAAAATAGTCCGGCACAACCAATCAGAATTGACCTTTTTTCACTTCTCCGATTGGTTGATTTTGTGGCGCGAGAGTTGAGAGAGGAAGAGGGATAAGTGAGAGGGGTTATTATTCCATGTTAGTATGGATAATGCCAATGTACAAATACATTTATTGAGCACAGAACAGATTTTTGTTGATTTTTCTCAAACTCTCCCTCTCCCAAAGTCTCCCACTGCTCGCTCAGGAATGAGGCACAAATATAACGCCGTATTACTTTCGCAGACTCCAGTGGAAGCTCTCAAGTGTTGAAAAGCAGTGATCACGTCAGACCAGAGTTATAATCAGACTTCATCATCATCATATTGTCTCTTGTGTGGTTAAAGGAGACAGAAACTGTGGCTCCATGTTGTGTCTGGCCATGATTCAGGCCCTGACACCCTCTCTGTATCCTTCACCCCCCCGCTGGCAGGAAATGAGACATGAGACACACAACTCTGACCTTGGCTGGTGTGTGTTAATCCCTGCAGGGTAAAGGGTGATGATTTGCTCCCTTTTACAGCACATTAACACACACACACACACACACACACACACCAAACAGGAAAAAAAGAAGGAATGCAATCAATTTATACATCCTTGGTAATCTTCATTGGCTGCAACCTTTAATGTGTTTATAGACCCTCACTGTGTTTGTGTGTGTCTGTGCGTCTGTGTGTGTGCTGGGAGTGTGCCAAGGGAGCACCAGAGAACCTCTGCTCCTTAATGTCGTCTACTTTATTATAGGTTAGGCTTCAGCTGGTCTCCAGTGTGTCATCCTGCTCCCCTCTGGGTGTGTCTCCTCACTAATGCCCTCTAACTCACAGTCCAACTGTACTTCAGTCAATCTTTTTGCAACACACTGAACACAGAATGGGGTTTAAATCAATTTACCCCCAAAAATGTAGGACATCCCCGGGCACAATACTGTATCTCGCATGTCTGACCTCGTTTTTTTTTGTTGCGTTTGTTAGAGGAAGTGGGAGTATTGGAGTTGTGAGTGTTCAGTTTGTCTATACTGTATGAGCAGCTGTGTTACAGTCAGCACAGTATTCAGTGTGTAGGCTGGCTGGCCCGTCGTACTGTGTGTGTGTGTGTGTGGTGGTGTGTGTGTGTGGGTGTGTCGTGTGTGTGTGTGGTGTGTGTGTGGTGTGCTGTGTGCCTGTGTGTGTGGTGTGTGTGGTGTGTAGTGTGTGTGTGTGTGCTGTGTGTGTGTGTGGTGTGGGTGTTGGTGTGTGTGTGGTGTGTGTGTGTGTGTGTGTGTGTGTGTATCAGAACAAAGGCCGATGATCTGGCTCCCTGTTTGTGCCCCAGCTGGTCGCCTCCTCGGTCAGGCCTGATGAACAATAGGAGACACACACAAACACACACAAACACACACAATTGCACTTGATACAATCGCGTGCGTTCACAGCAGGCCTCTGGTGCTGGCTCACAGTAACCGGGGCCAACAATCTGTGCCTGCCGCCATCAGGCTGAATGCGGTGGGTGGGGTGGACAGAAAGATAGGGGGGTTGTTTTCAAGTGTGTGTGTGTGTTGTGCTCTGCGTTAGGTGTGGTTTGGGTGGATTCTGAATGTGTGGTCACTTCTTTTGGTGTGGTCTACCAAAGAGGGACACTGAGTGATATGTGTTTAAGTGCAGACCCTCTTTCCTCCTCCCCCATTAACCCTGTGAGCTTCACAAAGTAAAGTATAGACGTATCTGGGCTTATAAAACATGGGCTGCATAATATGGTAGAAACATATTTGATTATTTGGAGAGATATTTAGATATTTATATGACAATTAGTGTAGGAATGAGCATTTTTGCATCACAAATTAAATTTTCACTTAAAAAATCAGTTAAAATCATGTGTGAAATGTTTGGATGTTCTTTACCAAACACATTTTCTTAAATCAGGAGAATAGGATTTGTAAACCAGGGCATCTCTGCAACACTACAGTTCTTCATTATGCTGTTCTGTCACACGTTTTACCTTCATCAAAACATCGCAGCTCTTGTGATTTGCATATTGCTTCTGCGATTTGCATATTTCAGTAATTACAATAATTAATTGTGCAGCCCATATAAAAAACCACACACATACACACACGAAGCCTGACATGCAGCCCCAGCCTCCCTCTCTGGGTCAGGGTGAGTGTTTTGTCTCTGTCAGTCTTGTATTTTCATGCTGTTTGTGTACCCGCCAGTATTTTTCTTTCCTTGTGATAACTTGTGACCAGTTTCAAGGTGTGTGTGTGCGTGTGCGTGTGCGTGTGCGTGTGTGAAGATGCGACCGAAAACCTCAGACTGTAGAGAAGGGACAAACACTTCCTGGTATCCACTGTGTGCCCAATACAATAAACAGTGTCAAATATCATCCTATTTCCTTCAAAACATTGTAAATGATGTTGAAGAGAGTAAAAATCTCTTTGACAGCACCCAAACATCTCACCCACAGAAATTCAAATCAAACGATTTTTGTGGAATAATCTATTCAAACCATCTCAGTAACCGTGTTATTCAGTTCATATTCCAGTATGCACTGTGTTAAGTTCCTGGTTTATTTTCATATAGTGAAATTCATATTTTTTCCATTTGTCTGTGTCAAACATTCAGGATGAAAATTTAAATAGTGTTTTTCACCCTAGAAATAATAAATGTATTTTGACCCGGAGACAAATAGACTTCTACATTGAATCCTGTACAAATTACAGTATCTTAGGGTGAGTTAGTCACTCTGTCTGGCCACAGTTTCTCTACATTTTCATCAAAAAGTAAATGGATTGTGGTATTCGTTGTCTTGCAGAGAGTTGGACGAGTTGAGTAATACTCCTCTTATGTCTGTATTGACAAAAATGAAGCTACTGTCAGCGGCTGCTTTGCTTAGCTTAGCATAAAGACTGAAAATATGCAAACATCTATCCTGGTCCAGGTAACAAAATCCACCTACCAGGTGATTACCCCACGGAAAACTTATGAACTGTCGTTCTTTACATTTTGCAATGCGTGTAATTTTGAATCAGTAAAACAAATGTAGTGGCTTTTGTTCAGCCCTGGTGGTGGTTTCCTCTAAAGGAAATTATAGTTAATGTCCTATTTTATTTATAAAATCTATTTGTCCTCAGTGTTTTGTAATTAGCTAATTAATGACATAGGTGAGTCAGTAATCCCACTGTAAGTTCCTGGTGGGTAAAGTGTCCAGCAGATATTCTACTCTCTCTCCCTCCTGCCACAGTAATAAATTGTCTCTTCTGTGCTACTGTACTGAGCGTCTGCATCGGCCGAGCAGGAAGCCGCGAGGATTAGAGCAGAGTTCAGTAATGTGACTGATGATCCTGGAGGCGAGCAGAGTCTGACCCTGTTTTCTCCTCATTTTTCCTCCTTTACGCCTCCTCTAATGTGCTCCTTCAAACGCTCCTTGTCTGTTGCAGCTAAACTTGCATTTCATCTTCTGTGACCCCCCCCCCCCTCCACACCATGTGGTTCCCATTATGGCCAGTTATATTTTCCTTCTCAGTTGTGTGTGTGTGTGTGCACGTGCGCGTGTGTGTGTGTGTGTGTGTGCACGTGTGTGTGTGTGTGCGCGCGTGTGTGTGTGCGCGCGCATCTCCCATTTTTCTGCAGAAACTCAATCTGTCCGCAGAGGCCAGAGTTCCCGAGCCTTTTTCGAGACACAAAATTTGAGCAGTAACTCTTTTACTTATAACACCTTTTATGTAACACCTTACGTAATACTTTTCAGTGACGAGGATCTTGATTACTTTTATGTACATAGTATATCTTTGGCTTCAGTTCAGTGTTGTATGGAAAGGAAGACTGTTGTTGTGAAACTATTGGTGACTGTATGAAAATTAAGGGATAAGGTTGTTTGACTTTCTAAAAAAAGCAACGCCTTCCCATCATTATTTTCTTTGGATACTCCACTTGGCTTCAAAAAGTACTGCAACACCCCAACATATCAAAAACAACACAGAACAATATTGAATGGGTTTGACATATTTCATGAGCAAAGAGGAACTCCATCTTTTTTACACATTAAAGTCTGTTTACATCTCTTGGGGAGTACTACTGCACATGTGAATAAAGTTATATGAAGCCTTTTGTCACTCCAGAGAGAGCTGCACAAAATCTGAGTCAAAGACTATTAAAGTTTGAAAATAAACACAAAAAAAACTTAAGTAGCCCTGCCAGAAAATAAAATAAAAATCTAATTTTCATACAGTCCCTCAGCTGACAGTTGACACACATGATGATATGATTTTTTATTATTAACAGCAGCATTTTAGGACAGATTTGCTATGTATTCAATGTGACTGCTGCAGCTGCTTCCGAGGCTGTAAGAGAACAAGAAACATGGAAAAAATGAGCAGAAGTGGGGGAGGGTGTCACACATGAGAAGGGAGGCGGATGGGGAACACATGAGAGCACTGGTTTGCTTTTTCAAACACATCTTTCTTTCTCCCTCTGTCTCGTTCCCTCTCTCGCTCTGCACACATTTACACAACAGTCCACCAGACAGTCCATCTCTCTGTCTCTCCAGCCCTCTAGCTATATGTTCATCCACGCCATGACCTCATCATATACAATAGCACGCATTGTGCTGGGTGAAGAGTGCGCGAGGGGAGTGGCACACTGGAGGGTTGTGTATGCCTTCATCCTATAGTTCACTCGTGCTTGTTTTCTCTTTGTTGCTCTTAAGTGCCTCAGTGGGGTTGATGTGATTTTAATGAAGTCTGGTGTTCTGTAGATATACAGTCGGGTATAAACACGCACACGCACACACACAGATATGCACACTAGCCTTTAGGACTATAGATTGAAATATCTCAACAATTATTGGATGGTTTGTCCAATTGACTTTGATGATGCAATGATTTTGCCATGTTCCCATCAGCCTCAGCTGTACTTAATGCTCAGTGCTAATTAATACATGTTATCAGGCTAATTAAACTAAGATATTGAACATAGTGAACGTTGTACCTGCTAAACATCAGCATAGGCATAAATACTGTCATCATGAGCATGTTAGCTCAAATCACTGCTCTGCTGTTGAAGACTCTGAGTCTTGTTGCTTAATAAAATGACCTAAACAATTAACTGATTATTACAAATGCTGCAGATTCATTTTCAACTCATTAACTGTTTGAGCTCTGACTGTTGCAGTTTACATTCATGGTGGATGTCAGTGAAGTGAAGATTCTTGTGGCCTTATGAGTTTTCTTCCTGTGTTTTGTGACCGTCCACCATGACGACTAATCCTTTGAACTCTATGGGGTCTGTCTGGACTATGACAGATGTGGGTGTGGGTGGGTGTGTGTGTGTGCAGCTGTGTGAAATCCTTTACTAATCCGAGCCGTCTGATGTTGCTCATTTAGTACGTCTGATCCTGACCAGAGGATGTGTGTGGGCGTGCGTCTGCATCTGGACTGTTTGTTGTTAACGGTCACCTTCTGCGGCTATTTGCAGCCCTCACGCGTACGTTGGACTCATGACTGACCTGCTAGCCTGTGTTTCATCTAACCCATTCTCCCAACCGTCTGACCCGGCTCAGGTATGGACCTGTCAGCCAATCAGGACGAGGAGGGCGACCAGGAAGTGTTCCAGGTGGAGATTTGTCGTGAAAACAGGAAGTGCGCGTTCCGGACCGCCGCTGGGAAATACTGGACCCTGACTGCTAACGGCGGCCTGCAGTGCACCGCCTCCACCAAGTAAGCATCGCACACACATCACTGTGTCTCTTCTTCTATGCTCAGACACACCGCCACAACCACACCTGCTCCAATCTGTCGCTCACTAACCTCTCAGCCAGCGAGTGTTTGTGTGATCATGGAGAACCTGATACTGGTCCGTCACACTCTTAGTCTGTAGTCCTCTCTGGAAATTTGAGCTGTGGCATGACTTACCGTAAGGGTTGTGTGTTTAATGGTGTGTGTGCAGTGGGGGGTGGATGACGTGTGGGAGGTGAAGAGCGAGTGATCATGTCATGGCTGTGGCATGTTGTGGGAGATTAAGTGCATTTGTGTGCGACCTCAACCTGTAGAGATTTTCTTTAATGTGCAGTGCTTCTGTCCAGCCAGAGTGCTGGCTGTTAACCCCTGACCCTTGACCCTTGATTCTATGCTCCTGGATGATTCCCTGTGAGGCCCCAAACAGATGCAAGAGTAGAAGCTTAGACTTGTGTGTTACAAAAATGTAACCTTTGACCTTTATTTTGTAAATCTCTTATTTTGTAAGTTTTTAATGCAAAGATCGAGGCTGTAGATGATGAGATTGGTCATAGAAGTGTCCTGAGTTAACCTGGAGGCTGACCACCCCTCCGTTAAGATAACACGGAGCAGAGACAGTCACACTCGACACACTGCAGAGCGCTCTGCAGGAAGTACACCAAATTCCTTCATCACATTCTTGAGATTTGACTCGGTTCACTCCTCGCTGATTAAACCACAGAAATGTTTTCTCTCACCAAGTCCTCTCGTGGTTTGCGGAAACATTTTGGAAAAGTGTTTCAGAGCTCCTCTCTAATAAAGGCTTGTAGCAAGGCCCCAAAAATGTGACGAGGAAATAAAAACCCTGCTCTGCGCCAAGTGAAAGGATTAACGAGCTACTTGATTCAACTTAACCAAAGACTACAAGTGAAGCTTATCCCTCCACCCTGAGCCTACCTATCCAATTACCCAACAATTACTTAAGGCTCTGCATAAAGCGGCTGGGTGTAGTTGTCCGAGCAACAGGAGAGCTGTGACTGTGTGTTTAAACTTGACACTGACGAAAGCGCTACCGGATATCTAACTGCCATGTAAATTTAATTATCCTTCTTACCTCTCATGCCTTCACTTTCTCTGTGTCTCTCTCCGTAGGTCAGCTAATTGCTACTTTGACATTGAGTGGCGTGGGAAGAGGCTGACTCTCAGGGCTGCTAACGGGAAATATGTCGCCGCCAAGAAAAACGGCCAACTAGCAGCCACCATCGACTCTGCCGGTCGGTGAGATTTGTTGATTCAGCCGTTCAGACAATGATATGTTAGCTAACTGATTTACTTTTCAGCAGTGATGGGTGGGTGGGGGGGGGATTTCAACACACAGGAATTAATTCATGGCTGGATGTTCCAGTTGTTTCTGGGCTTCAAAAGGCTTCAGCACTTCTGAGCAGAGCTGTTTACTCTTTGGGGAATTCAGCTTTGTTGCAATCTTTCCGTTTGTTGTTGTTGCCATGTTTCTTGCTGTGTTTCTTCTGAAGTTAATCAAGTTGATTGGAAACATCATGAGAAAAGTCCTGAGTGTGCAGAGGCAATGAGGAGCCTGCACTATGATGGCAAAACAGTGGGGGAAAGTAACAGTTACTCAAGTGCTATATTTAAAGATCCCCTCCGGACATATATTAAGTCAAATACAAATAGTCTTCTTAGAACAATAATGTGGGCTAAGCTAACCTGCTGCTGCCTGACGCATTATATTTATTGGACAGATACCAGCTCACCCAGTTTATTATAGCACACAGATGCTACAAATAGCTAATGTGAAGAAGACTTTACGCAGAGTTTGGCCATTACAGCAACTGCTTTTATTGCTGCAAGACACAGGCATCATGTAAGCAAGCAGATCAGAAGATGCTGCAATCATAAAGCAGGTTTTGTGTGTTGGCATTAGCGGATCAAAGCGCTCACTTTGTGCCGCAGTTTCAGATGAGGGAGCTGTTGGCTACCACAGTGCTCTTTTTTTTTAGGGCATGTTTGAAGCCAAGTTGCTTTGCATACATTTTTAATGAGATGTATGAAAACTCAGCACTCTCAGCTTGATGAAAGAGCTGTAATATAACGCACAAGTTGCAGATTTGGGCATTTTAGATATTAGATAATAGTGCAATTGAATGTCTTTACAGTAGTTTTTACACTCCGACCTTCCAGTGATCATGTCACATCCTTCTCTGTCTCCAGGTGAGTCGGAGGAGTTCCTCATGAAGCTGATTAACCGCCCGATCATCGTGCTGCGGGGAGAGCACGGCTTCATCGGCTGCAGGAAGGTGACAGGGACGCTGGACTCCAACCGCTCCACCTATGACTACTTCACTCTGGAGTTCAGAGATGGAGCCTACAGCCTGCAAGGTCAGTTCAGGTGTTCAGCCGATACACGGTCAGTCTTGCTGAAGGACATGTCTGGGGGTTTAAACTTGCACACGTGCAGCAGCACCACGCAGAAAGGTGTTGCTTGTCAGAGCATGTGGAGGGAGCTCCTGCAGCCATACAAGGGATTAAATCATTTACTCTTTAAGGGATTCTCATTATGGATTTACTCACTCATTAGGCGTTGGTGCCAAAAAGAAGGATTTGATTGGGATAATTTCCCAGCCTTCATGTTATGTAATTCAAACAAAGCAAAATTTTAAGCTGAACCTTTTGTTCCCTCCTTCATGTTTTCACACCCTTACCCCACCTTTCCCCCACATGATGCCTCCATCTACATACTTGCGTTTACCATCTTTTCTCTCCCTCGCATCCATCTCCTCTCCTCCTGCAGACTCGACGGGTAAATACTGGATGGTGGGTAACGAGCAGTCGGTGGTGAGCAGCAGCGACACACCCGTCGACTTCCTCTTCGAGTTCTGCGACTACAACAAGCTGGCCGTCCGCCACGCCGCCGACAGCAAGTACCTCCGTGGCGACCACGCTGGCGTGCTGAAGGCCAACGCCGACGACCTGGAGACCGCCACACTGTGGGAGTACTGAGGGGGAAGCATGGATGCGGTCGCCCACTGCTGCGATGCTGATGAATGAAGTGTGGCGACGCAGCACGGCAGCACTACCTGTCCATACATCTACCTATCTACCCCCCACTCCCCTTCCTTCCATTCCTTATATTATATCCTGTACTTATGACTTTATATGTTGATAAACTGCACAGAGAGAACAGGAAGGATAGAAGAAGAAGGAAGGAGAACACCCCTTTCTCTCCTGCCTCCCTTTCCTTCCCTTCATCCTTCCTTCCTCCCTTTTTCCCAGCTCTGCTCTGCAGCGCCGACCTTTATCTGTTGCCATAGTTACCGTGGGGCTGTGCACTTTTTTCTGCTCCCATCTGGTTCGCTGCTCAACCTGTCACTCAACTCCCTCCTCGCCTTACGATTGGGCCGTCCCTCTCCCAGAGCAGAGCAGAGCCACGTTTAAAGAGCCCCCCCCCGTCCCCGTCCCCCGTCCCCTCCTCTCTGAGTTAACCCCCTCGTCTTTCTACTTGTCTCTATTGTCTGTGTGAGCAGCACATGGTGGCAGTATTTATGGTGTCTCACCTGGTCTGCTAGATCTGTTTCTACCTGATTTAATCTCCCAACGCAGATCCTCCACTGGATAAAATCGACTTCAGCTGCTTCCTGTTAGCTGCATGTCAAAGATGGTGAAAGTGGGTCTGTTTTTGTGCGGCTGGGTCATGTAGAAACAGATTTCCTGCTTCTGTCAGACCAGGTCTAGTTTGTTTTCATGAGCAGGCCTGTTGTCTCTGTGTGATAACTATGTGATATAACTGGAGTGGATCTGATAAAGATATTGAAGATGGTGTAACTGACGGGTTCAAGCCCCACCCCCTCCCCTACTCTTCATCTCAACTGTATAATATTCAAATGTAAACCAGTTTCCTCTGTTGTTCTCACTGGTTGGCGGGGAATTTCCTGGACCAAACAGGATGTAGGAAGTTAAAACACTTGTCAACCCCTTTACCTCCCCCCCTCCTCCGCAAGCTGAACCTATTGTCCCGAGAACAGTATAAAGAAAATAAAATTAAAAATGGTGCGGACATGTGTTTACTGCACTCACCTGTCTTACTGGAAGAAAAAGCACTCGCTAACACACAGTTGGATTCATTTCTTTTTCTATGTCCAAGGCACAGACATTATCATGGGTAGGCGTACAGTAGGTAGCCATAGCAACTGGAGCGAAATGATTTATAGACCCTTTTTTGAAAGCTGCTTTTTGAATCCCTCAACCAAACTTACACCTCAGCCTTTATCTAGACCAAACCTTTGATACTGGATTAACAAACCGTCATCTCACAACTAACGAAAACTGGAACCTGGTGCTACTAACTCACGACATGTCACAAGAAATGTTAGTCCTGTCGAGCATCTCACATACATAACGTCTGGACCAACTCCTGCACTTGAGAGCCTTGCCATATAATAGAAAGGGCTGCAAGAGTGCCCTTAATAACCTAAACCTGCTTCTTATTTGGATTTAATTTCTGTCTGAACTTCAAGGAGTATCACGACAGCCTTTTTTATAATGAGAAATGACCAAATTGTATTTGTTTTTGTTGGATTTTTTTTTGTCCCTGACTCGTCAGTGAAAGTGGGGAAGAGAGAGAACAAAAAAAGAAAAGAAGCCTTTGAATTTGTCGTCTATTTAACTGAAATGTCTGTAATGCAGTCATGTAGCACATTGCACCCATAGGTCCTGCCCTCTTTGATTCTCTACCCTTTGGCGGCGTGCTTTCTCCACAACTCATTTAGCCGCGATGGTTTCTATCTACTGGTTTTTACAGTACAGCAAAGATTATTTTGGCACTAGGCCCTGAATTATCGGGCTCTTCCACTCATCATCCCAATCATCAAGTATTCCTCTGATGTGAAAATCTGTATGGAAAATCCAATCATTGCAGCCCCATGAAATGATACATGATTGTAGCCAGCTCCTCACCAAGTCCGTCCAACTTCCTCTCTGAAGTTTTGACCGTTTTTTGCATGAAGGGTTGAGAATCTCAAGCAAATAAAAGGAGCGGTTATCCTCGGAGAAACAGCATCTCCGAGGCAACCGAGACTGGCTTAGACAAACGGATGTGGAAGGGTAAACATGTGGTAATGACTGTGCCTTACTCTTGAGTTTTTGGGCAGTAGGAAAATAAAAAGATTAAGAAAAAATAATTAAAGTCCACATCTTTGCTTTGTATAACTGGAACTTCTTTTTGTATTATTATTTTGTATAATTTTTTGATATTGTGGATTAATCTCTCTCTCTCTCTCGTGCCATTGGTTCACCTGAAATCCAACGACCAATAAAACTGGGATTTGGAACGCTACACGTCTCTTTTTATTCTTTCTTTTTGTCTTGCTTGCTGAATGAAGGATGTTCTCACTGTTCCCCTTATTAAACCTCTATTCTCCTATTTTTATATTTAGTTAAAATAGTCACATTGTCCAACTGTTGACTTTGTCTCTAGCAGATTTCATCAGTCGTAGCTAATTAGCTAACTAAGCAAAGACTGGTGCTATTTTAAAAAAATAAAAATAAAAATAAAACTCTTCCGCTGATTTTAATGTTTCTAAGTATGTTCTTATATGAAAATATATACTTCATGTCTTTATACTAAAAGACAGGCAGCAAGACAGATTTTTCTTTTAATTAACGTTAGAGCAGACAACCACACTGTTCAATTAATTTTCTAACACTTTTGCTCTTGAATTTTTGATTGTGCAATCACTGATCTGGGATGAGTGTAGCAAACTGTCAACTGGAAAATTACAGATATATTAGGTGTCATTGTGCACATTTTTCTTGAATTTAACATGACATTTTGGTATGAACAGGAGATCAATGAAATCTTTAACTGAATGTCAAATAAAGCAGAGTTTAAACAGGTCTTGACAGACCCAGCTCTGAGATAAAAGATATATGAGATATAAGAGGTTATGGATCACAGGTTAGATTCTATGTTTGTTCTTGCATTATGATTTAATATCTGCAACCTTTTGGAAATCACAGCATTTTCTTGCCCTGCTCCTTTCTCATATAATCGTAATGCTTACTCGGTCAGTTTCTGACTGCAGCGGCTCCATGTGCTGCCCCACTTACACACACATATATGGAAACACACACTTTTTTCCTGTCTCGTGAATAGAGCCTTTGTGTTGAAACATTTATTCTAGTGCAGAGAAAGGGCAACCCCCTCTAAAGATTCACACACGCATACACATGAACACTATTCAGGGTGGTAATGTAATGATGGAGCCTCCAGAGCAGGTCTCTAATCCCCCCCTCCTCACCCCCACCCGCCAGGCTTGCGGATCCCAGAGGAACACCCAACATGGCAAAACAAACACACACCAACCCCTCCATCTAATCTCCTCCCCTCTGCTGCCTCATGTCCCCCATTCAACCTAATCTTCCTCCCCCTGTCTCTCTCTCTCTCTCTCTGCCTGCTTTAACCATCTCTTCCAATTAATTCCTCCCTCCCTCATCCTCTTTTTCTCCCTCTGCTTTTTTTCCTCCCATTTTTCAATTCTGCTGAAAAGATGAGTCACTCAAAATATGACCCAGATCACAAAAATGGGTGCAGTGGTTTGTGGGTAAAGTGTCAGGCTGCAGGCAGAGCCGACTGGTCTCTCTCTCTCTCTCGCTTCCTGTCAGAACAAATGAACGAGTGAAAAGCAGAAAGGGAGGGAGGAATGGGGGAGGGTTAAGGGAAGGGGAGAGGAGTAGCTGTGTGCGAAATGGCCGCCGTCTCCACCCACATCTGAGTCCCCCTACACCTCAACAGATCCCCTTGTTACCATGGGAACACCAGCTGCTGGAAGCTGAGGGGTCTGAATCAAAGAGACGAGTGAGTGTGTGGCGTTGTCAGGGCCAGAAATGTCAAAAACCTTTATTACATCCAAAATGCGGGCTGATGGAGGACTTGTAAGGCTTGTGTGGTTTTGAGGGGGTGGAGGGTGAGGCAGGGAGCGGGGCACAGAGCTTAGGGGGGTTAGGATGAGGAGCTCTGGGGAACAGCAGCAGGAGGAGGAGGAAGTGGGCGTCTTGCCTTTGATCATAAAAAAAACCTCATCATTGAGGAAACAGCACAAGGCCAAGCTCTGCTGAACCACCCCAAATGTTTCTTCCTCCTCTATTCCTCCCGTGGACTCGACTGCAGAGGATGTGTGTTTGTACCGTCCCTTTCATCTTCTATCTGACCCCCTTTCTGCCGGCTCTCCTCGCTCTAATCAAATCTACGTCCACCCGTAATTTTTCAATCTCTTACGTGGCAGTGGGTCAGTGGGTCAGTCAGTAATCTCTTTAGGGGACGTGAAGGAGCAACATGGGTCTGTACAGGATGAAAAGCAGGTTGACTCACTATGACAGATCAGCCATTAGAGACAGAGAGGGCACGTTTGGCATATTTTCACATCACCAAAGTACGATGAATGGATCTGTTGTGTCAGAGCAAACCCAGTGTGGACACGTCTTCACCTTAAACATAAGAAAATTATTACAGTTGTTAGGATACATCCTCTGGGGACAGTGAGTTGTCAGGACAATTCATCCATCCAATAGTTGCTGATATTTTAGTAAAGACAAAACTGACTAACATTGCCATCCACTGAGCCACACAACTCATCATCAGGATATCCAAAAATAGGTTATAATAATAGATTTTGGTGACATTTTGGTGCCAGACCAGCCTCAGGAAACTGATAAGGATTTTGGTGGTGATCCAGATGTCAGATTTCCACCATGAGATGTGATTATTGCTTTTCAGTCAGAAAAGTGAAGCGATGGGTGACTGAATAATAAAACCTTAGTGGGGTGTGTGCAGAGACAGGAAATCCTTTTAACGTGGCTGGAATGATGCCTTTAGGTGCAACAGAAAGTGTGAGGATTGTTCGGCATATGTTGTTTTTTTGGTGTTCAACTAGTTCCACAGAGATAAAAAGTAGTAGTATAGTAGTATAGTAGAAGTAGTAATACATTTAATTGAGAGGTACAGTACAGACCATTGTAAGTAACATACAAATTACAAAAAGTTAAAAAATAGAATAGGAAAATCTCCATGTAGAGCATATTGTGAAGGCCAAATGACTAACAATATAGGAGTATATTATTGTTTAACCACAGTATTCAGCAGGAATGAAACATCCTACAATGACTGTATGAGCAGCTACACAGAGGTAACAGCTGTAAAAGCACACACTCATTAAAAATATACACTCTCATTAAATATACACACAAACAATAACAGACACAAACAACGCCAGCGGAGGTTGAGCAGCGGAAACTGTCTGGGGAGCAAATGCTGTCAGACAGCAGCGGCCCTTGTGGACGGGGCACCCGAGGGCTTTAACATGCGCACACACACACACACACAATGTTGATGATGCAAAAATATGTGTGTGTAGTCGTACAGTCACAACAGCTCTCACAGAAACATGAATCCAGAATAACAGGAAGCGGCAGCAGAGGTGGTATTTGACTCTCTCAGGTGTCTCAGGAGATATGCAGGTCATGTCTAGTTCATATTTTCAGGACTTCAAATCGGTCTCATCAAAACCCATTCAGAGCATCAGGTTCCCACCAGCTATTCACTCAAAGGTCTGAGCATTTGTTTTCAGTGGTCTGAATAGGGAATGGTGGCGCTGTTATTTTACTGACTGATTTACACTATTTATATATCAAGGCAGATAAGGTGAGACCAGTACAGCACATTTCATACACAATAAAGGTGCTTTACTTATTGCATGAAAGACATATGAATAACAGAGATAAAACGAAAGACTAACAGTAGAGAAACAACATATAAGTTAAGTGTGGGCAATATGATAGTCAACATTTAAAATGTATCTAATCTCTTGCCATACATCGTTACACAGACTGACTCTGTCAAACAGCCATGCAACCAGCTCTGTGGGGCAGTGGTATTTTTTTAGGTAAATGCTAACATCAGCACGCTAACATGCTGTTACAATACTAACATGTCGATGTATACCATGTTCACCATCTTAGTTTAGCGTGTTAGCATGCTAACACAAACACAAAAGTACAGCTGATGGTGATGAGTAATTTGTTTGACCTGATCACCAAAATCAGTATGAATTCCACTTCTGTGTACCATCTGAACCAAATAGCAATCACACCAATAGTTGTTGAGATATTGAGTGCTGCAGGAACGAGTCCTAAAACCTGGAACTGGAGCATCTTAGCTCTTCCGGTTCCTTTGCCTCGAAGTCAGAAGGTTTTTGGTTAAATGCCTGAAATAAGATCTGTGGTTTACACAAGCGTAAGAGATTTTCACACTTTACTCTACGACATAAAATATGTCAGTAAATTTAGACGTTTTTTCCCCCCCCCGTCTTTAAAAAGGCGGTTTCTAACAAGCAGTTAAATGAGACTTCGGAGGCTGTCAGTGACCTTCAGCACGCCGAATGTGGAGACTATCTGCTCACTAGTCCGCCTTTAAAGCCTGGTTGTTGGGCTCTTGCAAACTATTCTAACTAAAACATTATAACGTGTAGATTTTAATTACAAGATTTAATTACAAGTTGGAAGTTTGGTGTTGGTGATGTTGAAGCCATGTGACTGTGGTGTGGTTTACTTATAGCCTAATGTTAGCTTTTTACTTCTGGCAATCGAATGTGCTCTTCAAAAATCATAAAAGTGGTGTCTGTCTGTGAAGATTATCTTGCTGAACAACACGTTTAAGAAATTCAGAGCTTATTTTCTGCAATAATCTAAAATCCAATGGATCCCATTACTATTTTCTCAAATGAACCAGGGCAATGCTAACGTCCAGGCTGGACTACAGAGACGTCGTCCCTTCAGCGCTGTATCTCTGAACAATCTCGCTCCATCTAACTGCATTTTCATCTCAGAGTGAGCGTTGGGCCTCCAAGTGTGTTTGAGTGACAGCACTGCATCGCCAGAAGTCTCCTTCATTGAGTATTATCACGTCACTTAAGCCAGTCCTTTGTTCTTTGAATTAAATGAGTCATTAACGGATAATACTCTATAATGCTCTCCGACTGTAATCCATGACCCACACGCTCGTCTGGCGGGCCCCGGGGTGCCTTCAAGGACGGGAAAAGAGTAAAACACAGCAGAATATGTTGTATTCAGAAAGAAGGGACGATTGTTTTCAGGGATCCAGGCTCATCATAGTCTCTGTCCTCAGAGCAGCAGTGACAGTCACGGTGAAGGGTCGCAGGTTGAGGTCAGGGCTTATGGAGGGTGATTACACTCAGCTGAGCAGCCATCGTGTTTACAGCGGTCATGGGAGTCACACACGCAAATAAACTGTGACCCTGTTATTACACATTAGGATCACTTTATTCAACATGAGGAGAACTACAGTAAAGTCAACAGCAATTCAATTCAATTTTATTTATATAGCGCCAATTCATAACAAAAATGATCTCAGGAAACTTTTCAAATAGAGCAGGTCTAGACCGAACTCCTTACTGCAGCCTGCAGTGGTCTGATGTCACAGTGATGTCATATAAAGTCAGGATATCTCAGCCTTTGTTCAGTGTTACTTTTAGCCTTTAGCTCCATATTGTCAGTCCTTCACTTTGGTCCAGGCTGATACATTTCAACAACCGCTTGATGGATTCCCATGAAATTTGATACACACATTCACACACATCCCCCCTCAGGATGAATCACAGGAACTTCGGTGATCCACTGACTAATACTTCACCAAATACCTCCACCATCAGTCTCAGCTGCAGTTTGTGTTTCATCATGTTAGCGTTGTCCTCATGAGCACATTAGCATGATGTTAGCATTTGGTGCTACACACATAGACTCTAATCTTTTCCTCGCTGCCACCGGTCCCCAAACTTTAGGAATGTGAGACAGTAAATCTCTGGAGTACTACTTCAGGGGTAATGCTGGTGTTTGTTTTTTGACTTTGTGGCAGTTGTCTAGGTTGCCTTCTCCTATAAAACAATGTCTTCTGGTGTTACTGAAAGAAACAAGGGCCACTTTTCTATCAACTTTCAGTCATGAAGCTTCAGTCAAGCTACATTAATGCAGTGAACACTATGCCAAGATTTGTTATAATAAACAAATATTAAATCACACATTACATTTGAGTCTGTGTTTTGTTTCTGCTGTCTCAAAATACCAAACGCACACAGTAATAAGCTGCTGGAACTCTTATTCATATTCTTATAGACTACACGTCCTTATGTGTCTTTGTTAAAGACAGCATACATTACTTCATTCATGATGGCTTGGCTGGTGTTAGAAGATGCTAAATCTGATTAAAGTCTAATTCTGGCCCTCATACAGTCTGTCTCATACCACCCATGACTAAAACCATTAGGACCCCAGGGCTAAAACGGGGGTTCGCTGTGCTACTTTTGTAGTCTGCATGCAGAAACAAGAGGCTGTGAGTGTGTGTGTGTAGCAAAGTGATTTGTCATACTCACAGCACACTTGGCTGAACAAAGAAGTCCCCTCTTTCAGTAACATCACAAAGCCCAGCTGTCGCTACGCCATGATTGGTGGAAAGCGCCTGCTCTGTCATGTGATTGGTGCGTAGCCCAGGGGCTCAGTTATCATGAGTCAGCCCCTTTTTTTCCCTTCTGCATGAGACGATGGAGGAGGGGGAGAGATTGACAAAGTGGGAGAGAGAGACAGACGGTGCAGAAAGGTAGTAAGAAGAGATTTCTTTGGGGGGAAATTTGACCTTTCTATAAAAACAAAAAACCCTTAAAAGAGGGAAAGTCTAAATGAAGCAGAAATGTCAACAGAAAACTTTATTAGAAAACTGTGTGGCCTCACACAATACACAAAAGATACAGAAGGGAATGCTAACTTTTTTTTTTCAATTATGTACTCAAAAATATCTGTATAAACTGGAAATAAATTGTCTCAAGATTCTAAACTGTTCATCAGTTCAACCCCAATATTCAAACAGGAAAACATGAAAAAAAGGAACATGTAACATGGGGATCCGCTTCATTGTTGAAGTCCAAAGTTCAGCGGGAGAAGGCAAAGTGTCCGGATGCGTCTTTCTACAGATGTACTAATCATTTCAGTGTGTTTTATTATCTGAAAATGAAACCTGCACGAGACACATGAGTTATGAAAACGGATGAAGAGAACACATAGAAAAATGTGATACACTCTGAAAGAGATGAAAAATAAAATCAGATCTCAAAAACAGCACTGAAAGGAAAAGTATGACTGTAGTGAGTGTGTGTGTGTGTGTGTGTGTGTATGTCCGAGGATGAGCTGATTGCACCAGGACTGACACACTCGTCACAGAGTGTGTGTGTTAGAAACGTCTGTAGTAGCGGTGCGGGGGTCCGTAGTGCATCGGCAGGTCCATGACGTCCATGTTGTGGTGATGAGGGTTGACGGGAGGGTTGTGGTGATGAGGGTGGTTGTTGTTGTTGTTGTTATTGTTCAAGGGGGGCAGGTGTTGTAAAGGGGGTACGTAGGGGGCCGGGGGCAGCCGGGGAATGATCATCTGGTACATCCTGCCCTGGGGTGGAGCCGGTGGGTAGCGGGCACGAGGAGGCACGAAGAGGGGAGCTTGTACCGCCTGTGGGTGAGGAGGGACCGGGGGGTTCGGGTTTGGTGGGTTTTCGAGGGGGGGACCCACACGTGGCCGCTTGGTGTCTGTGATGGGCTCCGGAGGAGGGCCGACCCTCTTCCCTGAATTATCTGCGAGGAAAAAAAGGGAAGTTATCGATGAAGCAGCAGCTTTATCTGATCTTCCAGTGTGATTTAATAACATGTTGACGTGTTGTTAGACTTCCCGAGAAGTTTCATTCTAACCCGTGTACGCCCCCGCCTGCCTTACAGACTTTACACAAACACATTCAGACAAACCAAACACAGGAAACACCCCTACAACTGCTGCCGGTTAATGCTGTAAACAGCCAACTTGTCTGAATAAATAATGGTCAAAAAGACAAAGAGGAAGCAGCAGAGAGGAAGAATAATGTTGCTGCAGTGCAACGTTTCCCTGCTGAAGGACATAATTCACATTCTACATCGGTCTAAATGAAACTGGTGATTTACAGGACAGAAACACTGAGCAATAATTAATAGTTTAACAGTTGTGCTGTGGAAACTGAACACAATGACTCACCTGCAGACTTCTTATTCAGCTCTGCCTCTCCTTCCTTCTGGATCTCCTGAATGATTCGCTCGTCGTCTTGCTGCAGAAGCACACACACAGAAGTTGTTGTTAGTATGTTCAATAAGTTGAAGACAACGACTGTTTAACTGTTTTATCCAAGTAAAATCAGACCGAGGTGGCAGATAATTAACTTGCAATCCAACACAACACAACAGCAATACTTTTTTTTTTATCACTTTGAATCTTTAACAATACTATTATCAATAATGCTACTATGAGATAGTTTCAGACAGATAACTCTGGTCATTTCTGCAGTTGTAGCTTGTGGTGTTGACAGAGTAAGGCGTTGCTGAGACAATCTGCAGTGGACGTCTAGCTTCAGACACTTGTAGGAGAACACATAAGGCAGCCTGAGCTGTCCAGTCAGTGTATAGCTTATGGTGGTAACATACGTATGGTCTTTAGATATGGTTTGACCTTGTAATGCACAACAATAATTCAAGCTTTAGCCAACACACTGCTGGTTTAGCTGCAGGTTTATTGAGTCTGGAGAAAAGGGTCTCCAGAGAGGTCAGGGCTACTGTGGTGGGTGGGACTGCCGTGTCAAAGAACATGATGAAATGTCCCCTTTCACAAACCCTCCAATGGCCCTCTGGTTACCAGTATTTATCCATTTCTTGGCAATGCCTTCCAGACTAGCTCTTGGCCAGCTCTGGTGCCTCTCTAGAGCTGCTGGAGGAGCTCCAGCTCATTAACTGCTCAGGGACTAATTGTTGCTTCTGGTTGCCAGTGATGCTGTGGCCAGGTCACCGTGGGCTAGCATGGAGTCAGATGGTCAGGGTCAAAGTGCAATGGGGAGATAGTGCCAGGCAAGAATCTGCAAAGTTAGTTATCTTCAAAAAGAATAAGCTCATTGGCAAAGAACACGTCACACACGTCTGAAAAATTACCGTGGGGTCGGTCCAGAGGGAGCACTTGCGGCAGTGGCGGCAGGGAGCGCCAGGAGAGCGGGCGTGCTGGCAGAAGTGGTTGTAGCCAGTGATGGGCTCTCTGCAGAGGTAGCACATGAAGCTGCCGCAGCGGCATGACATCCGGTTGCAGCCCTCCGACTTGACCAGGCCCGTCCCGCACTTTACACACTTCCTCACCCGAGCTGCTGTCATACGCTCCTCACTGCAGCACAGGAAACAGGGACAGACATCAGTGAAGACGGGGAGAGACAAAAGCTTTGGTTCAGCACAAGGACGGTTTGGCCATGGGGGTTATGCAGTTAGTCAGAAGGTTTGTATGTGTATCTGTTGATGGATCAATGATTTTATGAACTGCAGGATGGAGTCCTACGGGGACATTAAAGTATATCTTATCATATCTTATGTTTAAACAAGGGAGATGCTAACCCTACAACCAGCTGACAACAGGAAAATACATGATAAAGGGCACCATATAATGTTATATCAGGATCATGATTTATCTGATCAAGGAGAAAACACAGAGAGCTTTAAAAACAAGTACAAACAGATAATAAAACATTAAAAGATAATTCTCAATATCATAGCTCCATTCTGAAAATAGTTTGCAGATGAGCGTAGAGGTAACAAAGTCCACTGAGGCCCCAAAAGCCCAAAATCAGGACAGGGATAATGTTGCTGTTGTGATTCTTTCAGTTGTCCTGTTAAAATCATCAGGTCAGTGCTGCTCAGACCTGCTCCACTGATCTTTCTACCAGTCCACTTCCTGTCTCTTTCAGCACCAGGAAGCAAGAAGATCTGTGAACGGCTCAAAACAGGAAGTACTGCCTGTGGGCCGGCTGGGTGACGGGAAGCAGCCGGCCTCTCCACTTCCTTGAGTGTTGTCCGGGAAACTGAGCTGTTTACCCAGCATCCCCTCTGAATGAAGAGCAGGAGGGACAGCGGGAAAACAGAGATGCCCTCACAGAGACTAAATGTTCATGGGTAGAAAACACTAAGAGTACTGTTTGAGTTTTACTATGTTTAAAATAATTCTTTCTCCTGTCAACTATTAATACATGAACGTTAATACTGTCCTGTACGGACCATGACAGGAGACTTCTGGGAACCTGCTTGTGGAACTGGTTGTAGCGTGTTTTTGATGGGAACTGTCTTAAATCAGAAAACAAGCCAACAGTAGAAGATGCTAAAAAACAAAAGCAATATGGTAACAAGTGAAAAATCACTTAAGAGAGGGACTGATTGGTAGCAGAGAAAGGAAATGGCATCTTATTCTGAAAGGCCTGGTGTGAGTTTCAAAAGGTGGGAAAAAGTGGTGTCATCTAAAATAAATAGATCTTAGCAGCACAATTTTTAATATTTAGCATATGTGTAATGTTTTAGAGTTTATTAAGACTCCTGGCCCAAAACCACAATGCTTCATATAATCCTATCATCACATCATCACGAGGAGGTAAAAGTCTGTATATGTCCTCTGCAAATGAGTAGCATAGATGCCTTTGTGGTGCTGTGTTGATAAAGGAGTCTGGTTTTCTTCTGTGAGACCACTTACAAGAGCACCCTCATGCGGATCTCGTCCCTCTCCAGGACCTGCTCACACGTCTTCCCAACGTGCTGCTTCCACTGGACATGGCACTTTCTACAGCTCTCCTGAAGAAAAAAAGAAAAGAAAGGAATGAGACGAAAGGTCACGAGTGATTGAACAGAATGACAAAGCGAAAAAGTTGAATTGTTGCATTATAATCTCACTGAACGTTTATTCCCTTCTAAATTTCTTAATGTGTCATCAGGTACTAAGAGAGGATCCCACGTTTCCACACCACATCCATCACTGCTCCTCCTCTACCATTACTCCAGATCCTGCTGAATAAGAGGAATCCTTCAGGCAGGACAGTCCTCCACAGTGTCTGCTCTATATGCTGCTGCTGCTTCCACTGCAGGGACTTGGACTTGCACACACACACTGACTGAAGGGTGTGTATGTATGAGGTCGCAGGACGTAGCCGGTGACAAATACAGGGTTTCCTTCCCAGGTTGAGGGTCAGACTGTGCTGCATCAGCTGTCAAATGCCACGCTCTTCAATATTAGATGAGCGGATTCAAATATTTATGGTGACACCACTTAGCTAAGGGTTAGCAAAGGGAGGCAACCCCTAGCTAGTGTGTGTGTGTGTGTGTGTGTGTGCAGTTTTGTTGTGCGTTTCAGCTACCACAGGCTCTCACAGCATTCACTGAGACAGCTGTGTGTGTGCAAGGTCAGCCAGAGGGTGGGGAACTGGGCTGGAGACACCAGAGTTTTCGTTGGCATTTGGAGCGGTTTGGATGGAAACACTGAAAACTATCCAAAGTCAAATTGTGGAGCCGAGTTAGTAGCTCCGAGCTAAGGAAGAGCCCTTTTCAAACACGTAACAGATGAAAAGTAGACCAAATGTGTTCACATTTTTGTGGTGTTTCTGATTTATATGGGAGTGTGTGCGTGTGTGTGTGTGTGTGTGTGTGTGTGTGTGCAGAACTGGACTTGAGTGTCAAGAAAAAACCCAGATCACACAAAGACAGGGAGGCAGAGAGTGCGAAGGGGAGGAGGACAGGCAGAAGGCAGAGTGATGAAAGATCACCCCCTAGTGGTAACCTGAGACCGGGAAGTAGGACGACATGAGAGCGAGCGGTGACAGAGTCTGTGTGTGTGTGTGTGTGTGTGTCTGGGACCTGTTTGACAGGCAGTTGAAAAGCAGGAACACACCTGAGTTCTTATAGTGTGGCTAAAAATACAGCCGGTGACGTCGGAGTCAACCCTTGCACTGGGCGTGTCTTCCCCGCCCCTGGGTGACTAATTTAGGTGAGAGTGGTTGTATTGTGACAAAGACACACACACACACACACACACACACACACACAACTTTATGATGTACAAATGGCAGCAATGTGAGCAACTTGAAGTAGCTGAACATGCACTATTTCAGTCTCTACATGCACTCGTTCACTCCTCCCATCCATCCTGTTCTAACTTGTCCTCCATCTCCATTCACTGCACTCCTTTCCCTCGGGTCCTACCCTCCCCTACCTCCCCTTCCATCCCCATCCCCTCACCGGCCAGCATCGCCTTCCTCTGTCTTCATTCATACCTTGCCTCTCCTCCTCTTTATCCCTCTCTTTTTCTATCTCTTCTCTCGTGGTGCAGGCTGCAGCAGCCCTTATAAGGCAGTGCAAGCAGCTTGCAGAGCTTCTGATTGGGGGGCCGCATCAAGCCTATGTGCGTTTGTGTGTGTGCACGAGTGTGTGTGTTTTTTTTGTGGGGAGGTGGCTTTTTACTGCAATCAAATCTGCAGAGCAAAGGGCAGGTAGGAAGAGAAGAGCTGCATGACATCGCACGACAGTGTACAGCCGATGCTTCTATTGCAGAAGATGAGATGTGTGCAGCATGTGTGATAATGTTTGAGATGCCAACTGGTGCAACACAACACAACACAACAAAACACAACAAAACACAACACACACTCTCACAAAATCCAGCTCTTGTCTGCACAGTGACAGCCTTCCAGTGGCCTACATTTCACATTCCCCTGCTTTTATGAAGTAATCATGCACAGGCCAGGAACAAGCCTGTCCAAATGTCCTCATAACCACATGTGGAATACATTAGTGTCCGCATACTGTATGTGTGTGTATGTGTGTGTAGGTCAGACAGAGCCAGGGGAGGGGAGCAGAAGAGAGGGAGGGGAATCTGGGTCAAACTTGATCTGAACCACATTTGAAATGGTGGAACAAGTGTGTCCAACCAGTGAGAAACCAGTATGAGGGGAGTGGAAAGTGCAGGCAACCAATGAGGCGGTGGCGTGGGAGAAGGCAGGCGGGATTGTGGAAGTGTGTCAGTTACATAATGAAGCCCCTCCCTGCTCACAGACCGAGCAGGCTGTGCGGCCGACTGTACAACGACCGTCTGCAATGCTGCTAATGCTGATGGCGACCAGGGGGCAAGATAGAAAATGTATTTAAAAAAAACACAGCGAAGCTAGCATGTGTAATAATTATATTTTTACTCATTAGTTTTCGAGGGGGTTTCCACCACAGAGAGGGGAAACAGAGACAACACACACCACAGCCGCCACACTTACACACACACGCACATCCTGATTCATATACATATTTAAGAGGAAGCAAGTTGCTGTTAACTTTCTGCAGAATTTCACTTTTTGAGCGCTGTTCCCTTCATAAGTCAAACGTGTCCATTTAAAAACCAGTGAGTAAAATACTGTAAACAGGTTGGTTTCTAGTAGTTGACCTTAATCTGTAGTTGTCTGCAGAACACCATGCAGAAAAGGACCAGACCAAAAGATATCTGGAGCATGTCTAACTTTTTGGTGTCTTTGGGTGTGTATGAGCATGTAATGGGGTGCAGCTGTGCAGTCACAATGGAAGGGCAGCTACTGTGAACCTCTGGCTCCACCTACAGGTTAATGGACAGGATTGCAGGAGAAAGCAAGGACATCCATAACTGCACTTCTGCAAATATCTGCTCAGAGGTTTGTGTGATTACATTAAAGCTCTGTTGCTTTTCAGGAACTGACTGACAGCTGCACCCGCTCACTGCAAAGAATTGTTTTTTTTTTTAAATAGAAGACTATGGTTTAGACGGAGGAACTATGATGTAAAATTATCCTTTATAATCTGACCAGAGACAAAAGGTTCTGTGTGCTATGGAAGGATTCTGTATCACAAAATACTAACAGGGTATTTGAGCCTTTTTCAGTTGGGGCAGAAGTAGGAGCTGCCCCTCGTCCTAATATCGATACGAGTGGCACCCAATACTTCCTTATTTTGTGAATGAAGCGGTGCTCAAGTTGTACTTTCCAAGGGGTCTGTGTTTGACCAGTAATTAAGGGTCAGACCTGCAAACACTGCCCTTGTAGTTCCTGAACTATCAGAGAGAACCGCCCCCCTTTGAGCGTGGACTTTTTTGACACTTGGAACTATCGTACAGGAACAAAATCTAATCCCCGGTTCCTCCGATCGACCACGTTTAGTTCCTCAAAAAGGTTCTTGGTCCTCTGGAAAAGTTCCTGTGGTGGAAACACCCTATAATATAACAACTATGCAGTAATGCACTACCCAGCCTGCTGAGTGTTTCTCAGTGTCTGTCCTGCTGTGAGTGCCATTTAAAGTCAGATGTATTACAGTCCCATTACTGAAAGTGGTGTTGGAGAGTATGTAATAGGGTTGTAATGCAACTAAAAACGTTTTTTTTGTCCGACAATATCTTTGACAAGCTGAAACCAGAAAAAAAAAAAGTAATTTCTGCTTGATAATGATGATTAATTCCCTGTCAATCGACAGCAAATTGAGTGACTAATCATTTCAGCTTACACAAATATGGGCTTAATACATGCTTTGAATCAAAGACAATTATCCATTTAACAAATACAAGATTATTAGGTCAGTTACTGGCAGACTTGATGTCATGGTGTCATAAGATGAATACACACATTTATTATATCGGGTGTGTTGACACAAACTCGTCTATCTCTGTACCGCCTATTCCATGAAAGCGTGTGTGTGTGTGTGTGTGTTGAGTTACAAAGAGATTGTGGTGGTGTGGCAGGAGTGAGTGTGAGACACAAGAACAGTAACAAACAGAGACAAAAACACATCATGAGAAAGAAGGCAGGGTTTTTGTGGTGAGAGCGAGAATATGATTGTAAGTATGTGTGTGTGTATGAATGTGTGTATGTTTCAGCCAAATAATGGAGATTTTTAGACATGAATCCATGTGACAGCCTTGGCAGACACAAAGCAAAGCCTCCCCCCTGCATTCCTGAGACAGAGGGAGGAGGCCCGGAGATAAACAGAGAGGCAGACAGAGGTGGTGACCTCACCAGATGGAACCGTTTCATCACGTCCATAAAACTGTTCATCAATCTTTCCTCTCTCACTGATTTTGACCTCTGTCTCATGTCCAGGTTGCACTGACATGATTTATGCTGAAGTGGACACTGCATGCAGAGCTTTAAGTTTTTACTGTCACCATGGACTAAATTATACATGATGTCTCCTCTTGAAGTCAAATCCCTCTTTTTGTACAGTATGATCTGATACAAGTGATTACACCCATAGATGCATGTAGTGTGCAGGAGCCAAAGTTTACCTACACTGAACTGTGAAAATATTCCTTTACTTTTAATAGTCTGTACGGGAAAGAAAGTAGCAATAAAACAGCCTGGCTTATCCAAAACATGAAAGTGTTCAGTGAACTAAATAAATACAGTGTAGGACTGACCTTGCGGCACCGAGGGTTGGGACAGCTAAACAGAGACATGTCTTTGTCCAGCAAGGCTGGGAAGTTGCAAAATGGACACCTGAAAAAAGGCCAGAGATGGAGGAGGGTTAGGGAGTGACGGTGAGCGGAGATGTATGATACGCCCGTATATGAGACACAGAAAACCCAGACAAAAGAATCCCACTGTGAAGATACAAAGAAACATTATTTCAGTCCCCTTATGAGTGTACAGATTCCTTTTAAACCATGAATTTAAATCCATCAATGCTGACTAGATTGCAAGTTCAAAGTGCATTAAAAGCCTGAGATTGACAGTTGCATTTGTCAAACACTTAAAAACGAAGTTTGATTAGAATATTACCGTACTGAAACATTTAATAATTAACATACTGGTTTAAAGTATGAGTGACACTTAGTGTCTAGGCTGAAGGCTGTTGGTTTAGTTTATAACATTGGAAAATACTGAAAAATGTCCGTCGCACTTTCTTCACAACTGAGAAGCTGAACATTTGGCATTTTGGATTAAAGGTCCAGTGTGCAGGATTTAGTGGCATCTACCTCGCTTCACCCTCTCCTTCCAAGTGCAAAGGAGACGGTGCAGCCACTACAAAAAACGGGAACGCCCCTATCTAGAGCCAGTGTTTGGTTTGTCCCTTCTGGGCTACTGTAGAAACATGGCGGACTACATTGAAAGGTACCGGCAGTGGTCTGTGGATACAAATGGGCTCATTCTATGGTAACCAAAGATCCAACAGAGCCTCTTAAATGTTACACACTGGACCTTTAATTCATCATCAAAATTGTTGCTAGGTCACGTTAACAGGTTTATCTTTGGCTCTATAAAGAATGTAAACATTATGAAACAAAACATGTTTGCAGCAATCAATAATGTAAAGAGCACACAGACACACACACACTTACCGCACAAGTTCGTCAGCACAGGTGGCAGCGACTGCCTCCTCCGCCTGTCTCTCATAATATTTACACAGTATGTTCTCTGGTAGGACCTTCTCCAGCTCACACACTGGGTAGGAGCACGGGCAGCCCCCCTCCATGCAGCTCAGCTCCGACTGCAAAGTGAACACACACACACACAAACACAGGTTAACACACAAGTAGTCACAAACACACAGGTACGTTCACAAGCACCTGCGGCTCACTCAGTACGCAGATACTTAGTTTTATCAGATTATTGTATGTAAATGGAGGGAAATAAACAATTTACAAACACCTTTTATTATCACGCAATCTAATACAACAATGTAACAAAGTACTTCCTCATAAAGATGAACCAGCACCGAGGAGAGGATTTATTACGGAGCTGTTTTATTGGATTGCATTAGATTATACAGCGAATGGAAAAAACTCTGTGTATTACATGTAACTACAGTAATCACATTTATTTGAAGAATTCTCCAGATCAGACAGATTTTAATACAAAGTAATTTATAGTTGCCTGGCAACATTTGCAGTTATGTCCTATTGTGAGGAAAACAGTATGAGTGTGTGTGTGTGTGTCCATACCTTTCCAGAGCCAAATACTGCCTCCTGAGCGTATTTGACCAGGCACTCTTTACAGAACAGGTGGCCATCTGAACACTGCGTCATCTTCTCGAACGCAAACTCCCCGTAGCAGCAGCCACACTCAATCAGCTGGCCGTCCTGAAGAAAGAACCACACATAGACACGATTTATGTAACTCTGAGCTTTTCAAGCAACTAATCTACAACGTATTCTACAAGTAAAATGCTTGTGAAGGACTTAGAAAACTTTACATTCAGTTTGACTTTGAGGTAAAGACTGGATCTATTTTAATCCGGGTCCCAACATTACTCTTGGTGTACTCAGAATAATAACGCAGCCAGTGATTCCCACAGGATGGCAGTTTAGGTGTGGTGGGGAAGGAGACTCATTTCACTTAACTCTCTAACTGCTTTAATTACCTAGCTCTTCTGTAACGTTACACTTTTTCACAAAAGCCACACACACACCTACTCTGGTCTGTGTCTCTCACACACACAAAGACTTGCCTCGCCCAGCCTCTCTGTTTCTCTCTGTCTGAGTCTCTGTTCATTTTCTTCAGCAGTAAGTTTTACAGAGTCGCCCAAAAAGCACGACTCACGTATGGGTTTTTTTTTCACTTGCGATTCAGTTTTAACATCAGCAGGTGAGCCGCGCGCGGAGGAGGCTGGTTGATAATGACGGTGCTTATCAAAGCGACTGCAAACAACATAGTACCGAATGACATTGGCACCAGCTGATGTGTTTACTGCTGTTCACTCTTGCTTGGCCTGGTCCGCACTGGTAAAATAAACAGCGTATCTGCGCCAGAGAGCGTCTCTCTCGGTGTGTGTTTCTCTGCAGAGCAGCGTGATTGTCACTACACTGCACAGGAGGGGCAGAGCGAGGACAGATTTCCACTTGTTAATCGCAGATACTTGTACTTGTTGTGGAGATAGTTTTCTGAAGCAATGGCGCAAAACACAATGTTAGAGAGAAGTGTAAAAATATATTTTCGTTATTAAACTATGGCGGGGAAAATTAGACCGTAGTGGCCTGTCATAGTCTAGGTAATTAATGGGAATGTAGCTATCTTAAAACACACATACAGCAGCAACCATGTGACTGACCAGTACTATCTTGGACAAGCCTATGAATGTGTACTCTTTGGTAAAAACAATGTGAAGACTTTTTATCTAGTCATCAAGATGTCAATCATGTTTTCAGTAAATGTTAAATCTACCATGTAATACCTGCTGTATCGTGTCATTTTATACCACAATATCATATACTGGAAATATTTGATATACCTAGACTAGGCTTAGTCAACTGCCCCTTTGAGATGACCACATACAGTGTGAGTCATTGTGAAGGTTACATCGGTGTGGTTGAGGTGTGTGTGGTTCCTACCTTCTTGTATTCATCCTCATTGACCTGCAGAGCCAAGAGGAAGTCCTCATGCTGGAGAGAGAAGGAGAAATTCATTAGCACAGGCTAAATGGTAAACAAACTGTACTGTCCCCACTGGTGTGACTGTGACACTGTGTGTGGGTGTTTGACTGATGGATTACCACCTGTGACAACTAAAGTGTAAGTGAATCGGAATATCTCACTGGTACTTTACATGCGCCACAAAAACAACAACATTACAACATGTAATTTAAGTAAGAATAATGTGTTATAGAAGTTCAATGTTATTTAATCTTTGACACTTGCACAGTTATGTGTTAACATTTTCACAAATCATTTGTGAACTCACAGGATTTTTGTTATTTTATGCTTTTAGCAGCTGGTATTAAAAATCATACCGTTATATTCTCCAGAAATGGAGCAGATGCTAATTGAGCAGCACTAAACTACAACTGCTTTCTGTATACATGATTTTTTATTATTTAAGTCACGATTAAAAATAATTTATAGTCAAGTTGAAAAAAATAAGTACATTTGCCTTTATTTGTAAAGCCTTTACACAGGGCATACTAATATTATGCTGATAGAAACTATAAAACTTATACTGACAGTAAAATACCCTAAACTCACTGCTCAGGAGCCTAAAACAGAATTTACTATACCTGTACATTATAATAAAGAAAGAGGGAAGTTGGTAAAAGTCTTGATATTGGATGACAGAAACATCATGAAACATCAAAAATAAGTGTCACACCTGTATCTGTCTGTGTGTGTGTGTGTGTGTACCTCTGCCCATTCCTTGGCCTTCTGCTGATAAAATGTAAGCTCCTTTTGCAGAGAAGCCTCCAGATTGTTGTATGTTCTGCAGTAACGACGGTCATTCTCCAAGAAATACATCCTCTTGTCAAACTTCACTGATCCTGGTGGAAAGAGGAAACCTAATGAGTGAGACAGCCTGCAGCACCGGTTATGAACTGAAACAGTATTTCTATAACGCTGACTGAAAAGAAACAAAATCAAAATGTCCTCCCGTGAAGCACCTGCAGATGTGTAGTCTTTTTAGGTTTTGCAAATTAAAGAATAGCAGCAAGGCATTATCAATAAACAGAAAACCACTACATACACTGCAGGTACTGTATGTACATGCAGGTGGGTGCATAGATGTGGTGTGACAGAGACAAGTGCAAAGGTTTCTTTACCATGCTCAAAATGGAAATCAATGTAGCAGCGCTCAGAGGAGGCTCTGCTCCGTCGTCTCTTTCCTGAGGGGTCGCCTGAATCTTGCCACTTCTTCAGAGCTTCGCATAAGGCCTGCAAGAGCCGGAGTTAGAGAGACATTTGTAAAAGAAAGAAAGAAGGTAGAGAAAGGGGAGGGTTGTGATTCCGTTCCTAAGGTGGAAGGCGTACTACGAGACCACGGGTACCTTGCGTGTGATTGCATAGTGTCCCTTCAGAGCATTGAGGGCCCATTTGATGTCCTGACAACTGAGCATCCTGAAATCCGCCATGAGCAAGTCGGCAGCCTGCATCACAGCCTCCGGTCCCACTGTGCCCAGTTTGGCATAGTCAAACAGGTCCTCAGTCACCTGAAAAGACCCAGAACAGAGGCATAAACACAGCACCCTGACCGTGAGATATCTGATCCAAAGACGTGTTTGGAGCCGTCATCAAAATAAATATTGTCTGACTGTAATTTTGCCACATGAGGCTTTTTTTCTGACTGTAGGGAGGAAGAGGGAACAGCTGAATAATCAGGTTTCAAGGCAGAAGAGACTGAAGGTCTGTTAGAGCAGTGCTGCTGTCTGCTTATTTGTGTGAGCTAGTCAGACAGCCTGAAGTAAGATTGTTCTTCCCTGTCCAATGCTTTCATATGTGAGTGTATAGTAATGTCTGCTTGGGGAAAGAACAATACAGATAAAGTCTCCTTTCCATGTGAAACAATCCCAGTGTAGATGTTCACAGACAGCCCTACCTCTGTCTGGGTGTCTCCAGACTCCAGTAGGATGCTGGTTGGAGCTGCTGTGGCTGCTGCAGTCTCCCTCCTTGGATAATCGGGGTTCTCCAACAGCAGGTTACAGATACTGGAAACACAGCAGAGGGGAGCTGCAGGTAAACAAGCTTGCATGGACAAACACGCTGTTACAATTATAGCTGTCAGCCAAAAGAGAGAAAAGTCAAATGTACAAATTTGGTACTGCGCCCTGTTGTATATGTGGCAATGGAGTTTACACCGAACACATTTTTCTGCATTCTACATTGATTATGGCTTTGATAAATACACTTAAATAACAGTATTGTTAACAAATGACAATATGACTATCAACAGATCATTTTCACTACTTTTGTCTATTTTTGCTGAGAACTGAAAAAAACCCACTGAATTTCCAACCTGTTAACATGGGCACTGAAATGAAAAGACTAGACTGGACTAGATAAAAGGCTCAATTAATCCACAGTTACTCATTTAAATTCCCCAGAAGCTGAATCACTCATCATAGCTCAGTATGAAGTAGTGGAGAAAAAAAAAGGTTGAATCTTCTTACACATTCAAGTCTTTCACATTATTTTTTTGGATCAGTTCTGCTACATAGGCTTCTTGGATATCTGGGAATAGATCCAACTGTAGAGGACACACAAAGAGTTGAACAGGTGAGATACAGTTGGGACAGAGGAGGTGAGAAGTTACCCCATAATTAAAATCATACTGTTCGACTGATAATAGAGACAGTTCCAATGCATGAACCGTTTACGTGATACTCACAACACCAGCGATAAGGGTTCTAATGAGGGGCTGCTGCTCCACTCTCTCTCGGGGTGCTGAGGGACCCGGCCTTGCGTCCTCTATCTGGGGAATGTCCTCAGGTGCAGGAGGAACGGTGACCACACCGGGGGCTTGGTTAACCCTTTCTGCGTTTGGAGCTGGAGGCAGAATGAGACGAGCCTCTCCTCCGTGGTGGGGGACTGACGCTGTGGGGGCTGGAGGAGCGTGATGGTTAGCGTTTACATTAGGCACCCTGGAGGCGCCGGCCTGTGGCAGAGGATTGGGGACAGCCTCCCCGGGCGCCTGGCTCCCCAGGATGATCCGGTGACCTGCCTCTGGAGGTCCTAGTCTCTCTGGGGCTGCAGCTATTAGCACCGCAGGGGGGATCACCGGTATCACCTGAGGGGGCTGAGGGGCCTGGACCTGGGGCTGGGCCGGGGCCTGGGCGAGGGGCTGTGGTTCAATCTGAATGAGATTGCCCTGCATGCGATTGAGCAAGGCAGGCTGCAGCAGGGGCCTGAGCTGTAGCTGGGGTTGAGTTATTAGAGCAGAGGCTTGGATGCTCGGCTGCTGGGGAAGAACAACTAGTTTCACCTCCTTTACCTGGATGAGGTGGGGCTGTAGGGTGGTCGTGGACTGGGGCTGCGTGGATGTATCGGGCTGAGACTGCGTCTGTGTGTGAGAGTGTGCGGTTGACGTACTGGCCTGAGGATTGTCTTGCGAATGAGTACTTGTACTAGCCTTTTCTTGAGTCTTTGTAGAAGAACTTGCAACCGCGCAAGAATAGTGTGTGGCACTGGTAGAGGTTCTCGGCTGGGGATCCACCATTACATGTGCTGAAGAGCCAGCGTGTGGCTGTACGAGTCCAGATGTGCTGGGCTGAGGCTGAAAAAGTACTTGTAAAGGTGCTCTGGATGTAGTGGCGCTAGCCTTGGCATTTGTGGAGGTAGATGGGGTTTGGGAAGAAGAAACTGCATGGAGCTCCACTTTTATATGTGCTGACGTACCGTCCTGTTGCTGTGAGTTTGTGGTAACTTTTGGCTGAGACAGTGTGTGTGATGAAGAGCCAGGGTGTGGCTGTGTGTGTCCGGGACTGCTATACTGCACTGGTGTTCGTATGGCTGGCCTTACTGCGGAGGAGTTGGCCTTGGCATCTCTAGAGGTAGAGGGGGCTGAACCAGGGTCCCCTGTGGGAACCCCAGAAGTTGCGCTACTATGATCCACAACTTGAATTGGGTTGTGCGAGGCCCCGCTCCATTTAGCTGCTGGGCGAATCACATGTCTGCGTGCTGGAGTCAGTGGCTGCAGAAAAAAAAAAAAATTGTTAATTGTGTTGTAACTACTGCAACTTCTGATCATAGTAGAACAAACGAAACACGTTTACACACTAAAACTTTTAGCTTTTGTGTACAAAGTAACAGGAAAGGTCCAGATAACTACAGAAAATGATATAGAAATCGATTTAAGAACAGAGTTCATCAGTCACCTCCAGTATGCTGATGTCGTCATCATCTGCGTCGTCTGGGACTAAAACAGGGCTGCCAGGTACCAGAGTCACAGGCTCCTCATCAGAGTCATCAGAAATGGTGATGAGCTCCCTCTTACGCGTGCGGGAGCCTATGCAGACACAGTGTAATATCAATACTAGGAATATGTATGATGTGTGGATATTTATGGAAAGTAAAAAAAAAAAAGCTTGAGCCAGTATTGAGTTTTTATGATGAACTGATTATGTTGGCCAGAAACATTCTTGTTTATACCGTTTATGTTTATCTTTGTTATAGTACATTAATCCCTGTGGGGAAATGTGTCCTCTGCATTTGACCCATCCAAACTTGTTTATGAGCAGTGGACAGACAACAGCTCCAGTTCTGTGGCCAGTGTCAAGGGCAAGAGTAAAGGAGACTACAGGCCCCATATAAAATGCTAAAGTATAGAATGTAGTCTTTACGTCTGAACTTGTTTGTTCACTTAGTAAAACAGATAGCAATAACGGTGGTAAAATAGTAAAATAGTGTGTAAAGGTATACCAAAGACTGAATTTGTTATGTAATTGGTTAGTGGAGCCATCCAGCACTCAGAAATATTCTGGTTCCTTATTTTCAAGGTACAATGTACAATGTATGTTTTATAGCCCAACTAATACAGGATTTGTAAGTCCGATATTGATATTTGCGACTTTAACAACTCCTATAATGACACAGACATAAACACGTAACCACATTTCGATAAGGTTCCCTTAAAGTTGTTTTTTTACAATTCAAAACATAAAATTAGCATTCCTGCACTTAAATTTCTTATTATTAATCGTCTGACATACACAACGATATGATACATGATGAGCAATGAGATCATAGCCGATCAGACTCAGGAACTGAAAGTATACACAGTATGACACAGGTCAGCTACAAAACTCACATTTGTAGTAAAAGAAAAAGTCTTTACAGTAGAGTTTCTTCTTTCTCACCAAGTGTTTTCATTTTCACTTTGGATAGCATTCCATTATTTAACATTTAAATAAATGTGACACATTTATCTTTATATCTGTGTTATTAAACATCACAGATATAAAGATCACACACAGTAATGTTGCTTACCATTAGGAACCACAACCTTGAAACTATGTCGTGCAGTACTGGTATAAACTGGAAATGTTGTAATACCAGGATGTATAGACCCTCTGATCTTGTGTGTGACAGATGCACACCGACGGTTGCACGTGTGTGTGTGTGTGTGTGTGTGTGTGAGCGAGGATACAAAAGGTGTGTCTGACCTTGGCTGCGGTGGACGTTGAAGCTTGCCAGGTGAATGACATCGTCATCGCTGCCTCCATCTGCCATTGTGAAACTACACTTGCCAGCTCCCTGAATCAGCCCAGACAGAGTCACTGCTCAATCAATACCATCTACTCCACACACACACACACACCACCACACAACACCACAACCACAGTTAAAGCTGGTATCCTCGGAACTTAACAATTTACAGATTACGTGTTCACTTCAAAATGTCAAAATTCTAACTTGTTACAAATTGAAAAGGGTTGGACTCCACCCTGGCACCATAAACAATCTTATGACACATGGTTAATAAAAACATTATATTCTACTATCCGATGTTAGCAAAGGAGAACTTAACAAAGAGGAAGCTCGTGATGCAGAGGACTAAAAGCATGAGGAGCAGGCTTTAACATTAGCTAGCAAACTGAGAGTTGATGTGTTGAGCCAACTTGATCCCACAAGAACATGCTGAAACATCCAGTCCGTCCTCTTCCCTGTCCAACCCAACCCTAGCTGCTCTAGATCTGATCAAAGTTGGCGTGAAATCAATGTAAATCTTACATGTTGTTGCACAGCCAGACGCTAACACAGCGAGAGGCTGCCACTGTTCAATGCTGCCTACATGGACTGGCGTTGCGTTCATCGCCCTGACACAAGGCTCAACGCTGTGTTATTATCTTAAGGCTGAAGATGCTGCAGCTAAAAACAAACATGTCAGGACAGCAATCGATCATTTCCGCGCAGAGAACAAACCCACTGCTCCCAGCTAAGCTAATGTTAATTAGCTTGGCTGGCTAGCTAGCTGGTGGGTTAAGTAGTTAGCTCACTCCTGTCGGGATTTCTAGCCATAACACTGCTGGGTAACAATGGAGTGCAGTCTAAGGTCTCGGTGTGAAAAAGACATGTGCAGATAAGAACAATACCGCAGCTTCGTGTGGGACGAGCAGTGTGAAAGGTCTTCTTGGTGGACTGACAATCCGTGAATATCGAAACAAACTGCCAAAACAAGAGCAGGAGCAACGTCACGCGTACAATGCCTTCCGCTACGTGCGGGCGGTGGCCCTCTGGGAAATGTAGTCACAGAGGGTTGCAGACATTGTAGTCCCGCTCAAGGCACGAATACACCCAGTCCCTGGACAGCGGATAGATGCTATTTATATGTACACAAGCCACAAGAGCAGCAGGAGTTTATAGCTGCGGACAGTCCTCCCTCCGAGCTCAACAGCATCATTATCGAGCTGCTGAAGAGGAAGGACATTAAAGTCAAACACTAACAATATAATTATGGTGTAACTGAAGGGTGTAATAATACAATATTAAAATAATAAAGGGAGAAAACATCAATGACAATCTGTATTTCCAAATGGGAGAGTCCTACATTATATTTTTTATTTAAACCCATCAAAAGGTACCTAATTAGATTAGATTGAATCTAATCTAACTTTATTGTCATTGCACAAGTACAGGTACATGGCAACGAAATGCAGTTTGTATCTAACCAGAAGTGCAAACAGTAAAGTGCAGAGTAATGTGCATATGTACAAAAATATGTATAATAACATTATAGATATATATATGAATATACTGGCAGGATATTTACATTATGAACAGTATTAACAGAATGAACAGAGTGAGGTGAATACACTAAGATATAAACGGCAATTAAGTTATTTACAGTATTAGATTGACATTATATACATTCTTATTAGAGATATTTACATAGTGTGTATTAGTTTAACTGATGTGTATTCATATAAACAAAGAGAGAATAATGCACACACAACACAAGGAATGTATTTTCAATTTAATTTCTTTTAATATAATCTTATTTACATTGTATTTTTTCATAAATGTTTAGTACATAGTAAGTTACAATACTCTTGCATCCATTACACAGTGAACTTAGAATCTAGAAAATGCAGATTGAAATAGTACTGCTTAACAGTCTTTAATATTCAATCTACAACAGATCCCAAGTTTTTCCACTTTACTCACTCAACATTTAGGTTTTTGATTTCATTCACTTCTATGGAGGATTAATGACATTGTTCATTCATGGTGGTCTTGAGGACGATGACTACTTTTTCTAACATTCAGGCTATGGAGAAAAAGAGATTGGCAGAGAAACACCAGGGCCACAAATAAAAAAAAAAAAGAAGATGGTGAAATGGATGATGAAACATGTATGAAAGGCTTATGAGATTTTATTATACATGTCACATACAACCCAATAATTCCTGAAACTGACTCCATCTTTCAGTCCCCGTGGCTCATTTTGTTAAATATCCAGGTCATGCCCTTTGGACCTCTCCATACCGTCAGTAGAGTTAAGATTTTAAAATTAGGGCTGGGAAGATCGATCCCTTTCACATCAAATAAATGTAACATGGTATTTAAAACACCAAAACATTAACAGTTTCCATACACTGACAAAAACATATTTCTCCGCAATAATATGAATGTTAAAAAAATGTAACAAAATTCAATAAAACCCACTTTGTGGATTACTTGAATTGCAAGTGAATTGACCCTTCAACTCTGGTAGAGGGGGTGGTGAAGAGATTAGTGTGGGCTCTTTGTAGAGCATATAGCAGCTTGGTCAGTAATCACTTAGTAATAAATAATAAAATATCAGAGTGGATCAGAGTGGTCGCAGATACAAACGGAAGAGACAAAAAGTCAAAACAGAGGAGCAGGCTCATTTTGATCATTTTTACAGCGTAACCGGGTGCCATGCCTGACACAGACACACACGCACGCAGACACACAAAAATACAGTCTCACTCTATCGCCGTCTCACATGCACTCACACAAACACACCTACATGCACACATTCTGATACACGACAGTGGTTAAACATGAAGCATGAATACTAGTCAATCAATCAGCTCGTCAGACAGAAAGACAAATCAGCCTCCGCCTCGTTCTTCACACGTCTGATTTTCAAAGTCTCTGTTCGCAGGCTCGCATGTGATTGGCTGATTCTGTCCGGAGACCCGAGTGTGTTGGGAGTCAAATTCGCTGTGGCCGTAGGCATTCTGAAGAATGACATCATAGCTTGTTAAAACTGAAGGATAAAAATGCTTCTTCAAAACATCTGAAAAAATTTTAAAATACTTTATTTTATTTTTTTGTTTGTTTTTCTGTTTTTTTCCCCTCCTGCTGTGCTTCCTCCTTTAACCCCCCAACAGTTCGGTGGTGAAGAAGGTGGCAAGAGACCGCATGTGTCCTTGTGATGCTTGGCCGCTCCGTATACTCTGCGCGTACTTGATATTCTGTTGATGTGTGTGTAAATATGTAAAATGTCAAATAGGTTGTGTGCAAGTGCAAGCGCAAGTGTGACTGTATGTATGTTGGTTTGGTTGTGGAGTCGTCACTCCACAGCAAAGCCGCAGGTCTCCTCCACAGCCGTCAGCAGTTTCTCGTAAAGTTTCTCGTAAGACTCGTAGGGAGGGATGTCTATCCGGTTAAAACTGGAGACAGAAAAGGATAATTAGTGGCATCAAACCTGACACTTTGGCAAATATTAAAAAAAGAGAAGCCTGCGTCTTCTTCTAGGTTTCCTTACCACGTGTGAGCTTTGGGCAGGTTGTCTGTGTTGGCGTCTATCAAATGGATGGTGAAGAGCCTTGGTCCTGCAGAACCTGTAGAACCTTACACACATATTCTAGTTATCACTGCTCTACTCTGGTACACAGAGAACTCAAATTCAAATGGTACAGTCTCAAAGATAAAAATAGTTTGCCAAATTAATCTTTGTATAGCTGTAAGATTAATCAGGTCTGTAGGTAACTCCATGCCCCGTATACACACACACATTAAAATGTATATATAAGAGTAAAATGTCCTCAAAAGTGTATCATAATTAAACTTAAACATAGTAAACAGGGATTGTTTCCTGTATATTTCCTCAAGGCCTTTGCTGTAACTTTCTTTAGTTAGGAAGACGGACCAAATGTTAGCATCAAATGAACATAACTGGTGTGTGTAACAGTAAGTGTGTGTGGCCTCTGAGCCAGTCCATGACCCACCCTGCAGCGCTTTGAACCCCTGTAAGGGGACTCTGGTGGAGCCCGTGACGAACTGCAGGAGGCGTCCTCTCCTCTCCTCACTGAAGGCCTCCACCGCCTGCCAGAACCACCGCACCACGTTGCTTTCACTTGTGCAGTGCTTCAGACGGGTGTTAGTCTTCCAGTCTGCAAGATCTATCTTCCCAAGTCCACCGATGATCAACTGGGTGGAGGGTGAAGAGGGAGAGGATTAAAATGAAGCAACGGCCCCTGAAGAAGAACTTTTTGTCCTCCTCTTTGTGTGTCCAAAACTAGAATAATTTGACTAAAACGACTATTAGAACATTCACAGATTTCATCCTGATCACAGGGGTATTGTTCACAGACAGCACATGTACCTCTAGTTCTTTATGGTCGAAAGGCTTGAGGAGGTGTTGGGGGATGAGCTCACTGAATCCCTTCTGAAGAGCCAGAAACTGGGCTTCAATCCCACGCATAAACCTCCAGTTCACATACAGTCTGAAAAAGACAAATGAGGCAGGCCAAATAAATATACCGCAATAAAGTGGCAAAGTATTGTACACAAAAACTCTCTGAAGACAAGATGGTATATTCTTTACACTCTGTATCAAGGGCACAGTCTATATAACACAAACAGTGTTTCACTGTTCTTACCTCACATATTCTTTTTTGTTGTCCTCTGTGACGGGGATATTGCGGCCATTAGGTTTGAGTTCATGTTGTAAGAACTTCCCAAAGGCATTGTGCTCCACACAGAATGTGTGGTCAAGGACTGAAGTGATGTCGTTCTCTCTGCACAAAGAGTATTACAATAAGTTAACACAGAAATAGAAACCTCCACAGGGGACAAGTGCAGGACATGAACTAAGAAACAGTTCACGACAAAACATAAAAAAAAAAAAAAA